CCTGGCCTGGAGGCCGGATCCAGGGGCTGGAAGCCACACACGTAAGCTCCTGGCTGGATGTCACTTCTCCCCAGACTGATCTGAAGGTTTGGCACAAGTCTTACCGATTTCAGAAAGTTTTCTGTATTATAGACAAGCTTCTTCGACATTCTGTGGACCCAGAGACGACACCTCTCAGGAGAGCACTGTTAGTTCTGTAGGTCGGAGTCCAAAATGGGCCTCACTGCGCTGAGACCCGGGGTCAGTGGGCTGCCTGGCACGTGGACACTGCCCTCCATCCTGGGCCCGCGGCCCGTCTTCCCCTTCAAAGCCGGTGACATCTCTCTCCTGGCTTCCTCGTGCAGACCCTGGTGGGTCCCACAGGCTGCAGGCCCGGTCCCAGATCATCTCTGCTCAAGGGCAGCTGACCAGCACCCTCAGGTCACCCATCACCCCTGCTGCCAAGTCACATGCTCACAGTCCTAGGGGTCAACGTGGACAATGTGGGGCCATGGTTCTTCCCATTCTTGGAGAGGAGCTAACAACTGAATAGATAGAGATTAGTGAGTTCCAACTATTTCTTCTATAGGCCAAAAAAAAACGTTGGCAGGTCCCCTGAAATACCGGCAGCTAACCCCACCCACTGTCTGTCTCATCAGCACAAAGGTCAGACGATCATCACGTGTCCTGGGCTTCGGACGCGGGGCCAGATGCAGGGGTGTCCAGCCGCCGCCTGGAGCCAAGAGCAGGAGCTCAGACGCAGGGGCCCGACTCCCGAGGTCACTCAGCGGACAGGGTCCCTGACGGGGCTGCACACACCACGGCTCTGAGGAGCCCAGGAGGCCGTCCAGCCGGCCGCCACCATGCGGCTTCACGAAAACGCTGATTCCGATCGAGGCTGAGAAGACGGGGTCCCAAGGTGAAGACACCCGCAAGCGGACGGCTTCAGTCAGCCGGAGCGTCCTAGGGCCTGGGGACGGGCACCGGCCTCGCCACACACACGGCGTGCCCGTCCTGGGCAGCAGTGCCAGGGGGCGAGTTCAGGAACTGGGGTTCTCCTTCGAGGTCCGAGACGCTGGGGGACAGGCTCCTTTTTCTGGGAGGGAGAAGAGCGCGTTGGGGGGAAATGCAGACTTTGATGTGTCCCCTTCCTGCCTGGGAGGCTTTTCAGCTCCTCCGGCTGCTAACATTTTACATTTCTGCTGCAACCTCCGGGGCCCGCCCAGTATTCCCGTTGCCACATGACGCGAGAGGCCGGTTCTCACTCACACCCCAGTCATCAAACATCCTTGTCCCATTATGTTACCCGTATCAATCCAGCGAACATGAGGTTTCAGCCAAAAGCCATAAAGCTAAAAGCCAAACAATCTTCTCTTAATTACATCCCCCTGCAGCGCTGAGCTCTGGGCCCTTGAAGGGAAGGCTTCCAACAAATGAGACGAAATGTTGGTTTGAAATGTTAGTAATGGGTTCAAGTACGCCAGACGGGCTGCTGGGCGGACAGAGGGCAGACGGGCGGGAGGCTCGGGGACGAGGCGCACGTGGTCGACGGCGAGGGCACTGGAAATGCTCTCCGCTCGACGTGTCTGCGCGTCTTACATGCTCCATGGCGTCCTGGCCAGAGTTTCACTCGCTGTTTACGTTCCTTCGGGGCTTTTATGAAAACCCATTATTTTAGGCTACTTTTCTCTTCTGCGTTTCACGTAATCTGACACAGATCGGACCCGAGGCCTGGCACACCTGTGGGTCAGTAAGGGGCATGTCGTCCTCCGAGTGACAATGACACGCTCTGGCAGTGAGCACAGATCGTCCTGGGGGCTGCTCGTGGGGCTACGGCAGACGGGTAAGACCCTGGCAAGCTCCAATCAGCTGCAAATCGCTCGCTAACGGTCAGATCTAGTTCCGCACGTGAGGTCTCCCTGGAGAGAGAGGAGTCAGTGCCCTGGGTTGCGTGCCCACCGGTGCCCTGCCCACTGCCTCGGGTATGACGCCATCTCTCTCCATCTGCAGCTCCCGCGCAGGGCACCGATGGGCACGCACAGCAGCACCCCGTAGCCGTGCCCCCTTCCCCGTCTGGACCTGGGAGCCAGGGCTCAGGTGACCTGAGCACCCCGTCCTGGGCTAACTCGCAGGCACTGCCCAGGTGAAGCCCAGACCCCGACCACTGCTAGGAAGGCAGGGTCTCTGCCTCCCCTCCACCCGTCTGCGTCCTCACAGGATCCCCGGAGCCGGGAAGGCGCACTGCAGGGGGGAGCGAGCTGGGTCCACCTCCTTCGGGCAGTGGTTCCCGGACGTGCTGTGGTCGGAAGCATCTGGGAGGGTGACTGAAAACGGACAGCAGGCCGCACCCCAGCCTCCGGCGCAGTAGGACTGGCGCAGGCCGGGACCCACACTGAGAGGCCAGCACTGTGCTGTCCCGCAGCCCCGAGCCCATGCGTCCTGCGCTGTGGAGCGGACACGAGCTCAGCCGGCCCGTGGGGACCCTGCACCGCGAGCCCCCTCCGGGCCAGGGCTGAATGCTGCCGCCCACTACTCTTGTGGGAGGACGGCCACACGGTCTCCGTGTTGATCACACCTTCCCTTCGACAGGAGCAGGACGGCACCGCTGGATCTGCACCCCCAGATCTGCACCCCCGGATCCGCACCCCTGGATCTGCACCCCCAGATCTACACCGCCGAGTCCACACCCCCAGATCCGCACCCCCAGATCCACACCGCCGGGTCCGCACCCCCAGATCCGCACCGCCGAGTCCACACCCCCAGATCCGCACCCCCAGATCCACACCGCCGGGTCCGCACCCCCGGATCCGCACCCCCGGATCCGCACCGCCGGGCCCGCACTGGGCAACAACAGTGTCCTTCAGGGAGGCGCTGGACTCAGGCGCTACCCTGTGGCCTGGTTCACCCTACGGAAGGATCGGAGTTGAATTCAGACACCACCGTCGACATTCCAGTGGTTTAAAACAGCATCCGACTGGACATCACTTTAAATCATTCAGGATTTGCAAAAGAAAAGTATTATGAGTTCTGAAAAGATTGTTCTTTGTTTCATATTCGATTTTCCAAATTCTTCTCGGGGTCTGAGCCTTGTTCCTTAACCAACCTGGAAGGAAACACATGCGGACAGCACTGCGGGCGGGGCTCAGGGAACAGCCCCCTCCCCTCCTGTCCTGTGACCCCACAGAAGCAGTCCCCTCCCCCCTCCTGTCCTGTGACCCCACAGAAGCATCCCCTCCCCCCTCCTGTCCTGTGACCCCACAGAAGCAGCCCCCTCCCCTCCTGTCCTCTGTGACCCCACAGAAGCAGCCCCCCTCCTGTCCTGTGACCCCCACAGAAGTAGCCCCCCTCCCCTCCTGTCCTGTGACCCCACAGAAGCAGCCACCCTCCCCTCCTGTGACCTCACTTGCTGAAAGGAAACAGGGAGAGGCGGGCAGAGGTGGGGGACCTCTGCTGGGCAGGAGCGTCAGGAAGTGAGCAGGCACACAGCCCTCAGGAGGCTGACCCCAGGGCCCACACCTCCCCCTGGTGGAGTGAAGGTTGGGGCAGGAATACGGTGACTAGCGAAAGCTCCGGGCCCTTGGCCAGGATGGGGGTGCTGTCACTGATGGACAGCAAAGCCCCCCGTGTCTGCGACTCCCCTCCAGGAGCCGGCAAACCACGGCCAGAGCCACGTCCGCTCCGCAGCCCCGGGCGGCCAGCAGGGACCAGTGGCTTCGGTGTTTCTAAATGTCTGGAGAGAGCGCAGAGGTACTACGTGCGCATGGACGATGCGAAGTTCGGGTCCAGTGCGCACAGCAGCGCAGAACTGGGGCACAGCCGGGCCAGGCGCGCACAGGGTCGGGCACACTGCAGTGGCTGGGAGGGTCACGGGTCACACTGCACCAGCAGCACCGGCCAGAGGCGAGCCCCGCGCTGCAGAGAGTGGCCGGGCCCGCTGTGGTGCGACGGTGTGGATGAGTCCTCGAACCCTCGGCATCGTGGTCACCACACTGTGAACAGGGCTCTGCTCAGAGCGGCCCCGAGGAAGCCGTGTCCACCCACGCCCCACGCCGAGCATCACAGCTCGCAGAGCGTGGTCAGAAAGGCAGCGAAATGTGCTTACTTATTTATCTAAATACGTTTGTATCGATATTTCTAGAGAGAGGAAGGGGGAGAGGGAGAAACATCCATGAGAGAGACACCGATCACGCCCCCTACTGGGGATCAAGCCCACGACCCGGGCACGTGCCCTGACCGGGAATTGAACCAGGACCTCTCAGTCCGTGGACAGTGCTCCATCCACAGAGTCACACCGGCCGGGGCAAAGCAGCAATTTAAAAGAGGGCTGAAGTTCTTCAGACGCACCCGAAGCAGCTCTGTGCGGGGCTATTTGTTAGCCGAACAAGAAACGCCACCAGCAAGCTGAGCTGATGAAACCACGGTGGATGGCCGCAGCCCGACCCTGGGCTCCCGGAGAACACTGATCTCGATTCTGAGCCCTGGGGCGTGAGGACGTGTCCGTGAGCTGAGACGCCGGCGGCAACGTCAGCAGCTCACGAAACAGGCATCAGCTCTGGGACGTTCTGTCCGAAAGAGCAGCTGAGACTCGTCCTCCCGCACCCGCAGCCCATGGGCTGAGCGGCCGCAGCGGCGACCACGGTGCTGACTTCCAGGTGGGGCCTGAGGTTTGAGAACTGAGAACAGCTCCCTCCCTCATTTTTTTTTTTTTTAATTCTCACCCGAGGATAATTTGTCCCCGTTTATCTGCAGATAGACAGGGAGAGAGAAACATCGATGTGAGAGGACACATCGACTGGTTGCCTCCTGCACGACCCCGACCAGGGCCGGGGACCGAACTGCAACTGAGCTACGAGCCCTGGACCGGAATCGAACCTGCGACTCTGGTCTGGGGCCGACGCTCTAACCGCTGAGCCAGGCTGGCCAGGGCTCCCTCCCTCATTTTTATGAAGCACGAAAGGACTAGAATTAGCTTCCTCCTGCGCATTAAGATCCCACGCGATACCCAGGGCGGAACAGAACTTCTATACAGCACTCGCGCCGCCAGCCACTGTGAAGACGGCATCTGCATCACTGATGAGCGGCTGCCTTGCCCCCCGCATGCCTGAGCCTGCATCCTCGTCAGAGCAGGAGGCGAGGTCCCCGACCAGCGCGTCTGCGCGGGTCACCTCCAGCAGAGGGGAGCCCGTGTTCCACACCTGTTGCTGCATCTCAGGAGCTGCCTGACCTTCAAGCGAGGGACCGAAATGCAATGTAATGAAGGCCTCATGCCGACCGAGGAGACCCGAGGGTCTCCTATACGTGCCTGCCTTGCACGGAGCATGCTCAGCTCGAGGCCCGGGCTCCTGGGACACCCCTGTGTGGAAGGACACCTCACGGACAAAGCGGGTAGCTTCGCGCCAGGGCAGCATCAACACACGGACACTGGCAACCAGTTTTGACAGGAAATGTAACTTCCCAAAGAAGTATATTTCCTTTCTTCTCATCTGTAGCCCTGTATTACCAAGAAAAAATAAAAGCAATTTTGTGATTCTATTTTGAAAGTCGCCAGTGGAGAGATCGTCGACGTCTGTTCCCTTCTTACTTAGCTCGGTGTTTCCCCTGGACCCACGGAGCCTGTCGTGGCCTCTCGGGCCCTGACCCCCGAGCGCTGTGCAGCCCTTGCTCCGGGCTCTTCGGCGTCCAGGCCAACGTGGCCCGTTCAGCGAGTGGCACGCGTGCGGCCGGTGGGGGACAGGGCGGACGGAGAATTCCGGCTCCGTGGCTACACGACAGCCCGTGCTCAGTCCACGCCCGTCTGCGAGGGAGCCTGTGCGGAAGTGCGCCGGCCAGAGGGGCGGCTCTCAGTCCCGGGAGCAGCAGAACCAGCTGCACCCAGCTGCGCACAACAGCACACGCCAGCACCCACACCCAGAGCTGCCCGTGTGGGCGTGCAACGCGCCAGGTCACGGGGCCCTCCCGCCAGGTGTGAACATCTGACCACGGGTCTCGGAAGTGCACCATTGTTCATGCATCGGAAAAACTGAGTCTTTTTCTTATCTTTTCAGTAACCCAATACTTTGACTTTTGATAGCAAAGGTCAGTTTTGAGTGGAATTGAAGTAAATTCGCTGATGGCCCCTCCCCAGGCCCGTGTCATGGTCTCCTCGGGGCCTTCCTGACTAACCAGCTCCTGTGACAGTGGTTTCTGAGGTCCCAGTGAACCCGGACCCCACCTTAAGCTAATTCCTGCTCCTCTGTGTCACTATTAAATTCGCAAAGCGCATCATTCTGTTGCTTTAGTCTTTGAAAATTAGGAAATTACCCAACACCAAGTCTTCACTCCTCTTGGCCATTTCTTTCCCCTGAGGGGAGAAAAACACCAAATATCGGGTTTTGTCTTTAGCATTTCACACCTAGCTTTCAACTCTGCACAAAAAGCAAAGCAAAACACAACGAAACGACCAGGGAGCTTTCTGTGCAAACAAACTGGACTGTGGTCCCGCCTCTCAGTCCCCAGTCGATCGCTGGGATAAGCGGATCGTGACACTGAGAGCCCAGCAGCGCTGGTCAGCCAGGCCCTCTGTCCCGTGGGCCCGGACCGTTCCCCCTGAGGCATCTGCTCCGTTTCCCACCCACAAGCCGGCTGGGAAAGGCAGAGAGTCGAGCGTTTCCAAACCTCCTCAATCTGAATTGTAAGTGGCAACAGATCACATCTTAACGTCCAATAAGCCTACAAAACAGGAGTCTAATCGGGCCATGGAAGAACCTCCGATTGTTCTGCACCCGAGCCGCTCGTCTCCGGGGCGAGCGGAGATCAGCGCGGCAGAGGCCGCGGGGCGAGCAGGCAGCTCGGCGGCTGGAGCCAGGTTCCAACCACGAGATTTAAAGTGTGTTTGAAGGCTGCAGACACGAGCATGTCAACACTGGGCACCACGCGAGCAGCTGTTTATTTTTCCTCAGATATTAAAGATAGTGGCTTGAGAGACAGTCACGTTCACGATTTCAAGAAGGAATGTGGAAGCAGGTGCCTGGCGGGCAGGCCCGGTGGGTCTGTTCGTCCGCAAACAAGATGCACCGAGGCGGCAGGAGACCAGAGAAATGATGGACGACGTCGCCGCCGACTCTGACGGAAATGGAGCGAGATTAAGAAAACAGACTTCTGGGATCAAGAATGAGTGGGGAAAATATAAAAAGATGTTTCAACCATTTATTGTTGCACTACAAGCTACCCCAGAACTTAGTAGTTAAAAATAATAATGATTAGTTAAAAATAATAATGATTGCCCGGCCGGTGTGGCTCAGTGGTTGAGCATTGACCCTGCACCAGAGGTCCCAGTTCGATTCCCGGTCAGGGCACATGCCCAGGTTGTGGGCCCGATTCCCAGTGGGGGGCGTGCAGGAGGCGGCCAATCCATGTTCCCTCTCATCAGTGTTTCTCTCTCGCCCTCTCCCTTCCTCTCTCTCTAAAATCAATAAAGGAAAAAAATATATTTTTAAAATAATAATAATAATAACCATGTTCTTGCATGTCATGACTTGTGGGTCAGAAACTGGACAAGCCCGGGTGGTGACTGCGGCTCCCGGGTGCACTGAAGACGGTGACGGTCGCCCGCGGGCGAGGCTGCCTGCTCCGGGCACAGCGGCTTCTCACGGGGCTCAGGGTCCGGGGGGACCGTTCCACGGCCTTGGAAACCACCCAGCGTCCTTTCTGTTGTACTCGATGGTCAACAGGCCTAAGGACACCCAAGTTCAAGAGCCGGGTTCACAGGCTCTCGCCGCTTGATTTAAAAAAATAAAAAAAATCCAAGAATTCGTAGCCATGTTTTTAAATTCTAGACTCAGGACCCACTGTTCAGCCCCAGAGTCAGGATTTGCCCACTTGGACAGGCTCACGTTTATTCGGAGAGAACAGCTTCCGGAGAACCACCAGCCCGAGTCCAGGGGCCCGGGACTCGAACGGCATCACAGCAGGACACGCGCGTCAGCAGGTTCTCGGGGACCACTCGCCGTGTGGGGGCGGTGCCGTCTGCCCGGCCCTGTGCTGCAGACAGGCCCGGAGATGGGGGGCTCTCCCCGCCCTGAGAGCGTGGTGCCCGAGAACACAGGGAGGGGGGGGGACGCAGCGCCCGTGTGGGCAGAGGCCCCCGGGACCCTGCACTTCCCAGTGGCTTCCGGCTGTTCCCCAGAGCCGTCCACAGAGGGGAGGCGATGGGCATGCACCCGACTTCGTCGTTTATTTCAGGACGAACAGAGAGGAAACAGAAGCAACACGTTCACAAGGAGAACCGTTCCAGGAGGTTCCGCCAGGGCAGCGACAGAACAAAGACAAAAGGGACAGAACTGTGAGGAAAGAACTCACACTGTCGTCACTCACGGATTAAGTGCGAAAGGAAACACATCTCTCATTAGTCACAGAGCATGTGATTACGTTGAGCAGAATCTACTCATATGTTCTTATAAGACTATAGTAAGATTACTGAATATGAAATGAATATAGAAACATCAATTGTATGTCTATATACGAACAAAATATAGAAAATAAAAATGGTAAAAGACACCCTTCTGAATAGCATCTGAAAGACCAGGAACCTAACCGAAACGTAGCAAAGGGTAGGTAAGAAAACCTAAACACACAGAAAGAAACATCAGATTCACGAGTTAGATGAGTCAATGCTGTCGAGGTATCTTCCCAAAATAATCTATTCGTGTAATTCAGTTCCAGCCAAATTTCCCATAGGTATCTTTTATGGAATTGAACATTATTATTTAAAATTCACATAAAAATGAAAATGACAAAGAATGACCGAGACAGTCTTGAAAAATAAGGCAAAGGTAGAAACCCAACCTCTACTTACAGAGACAGAGAGAGAACAGTGGACAAAACGCAATCTCCACGACAAATGGTGCTGGGACCGCATGTGATCCAAAATAAAAATAAATAAATAAGCAACACACACCTGACCCCAGTCTCAAAATAACTTCCAGGTGGACTTGAAGTCCTAATGCCAAAGGAACAATGAAGCTGCTACAGATGATGCAGGATTCTGCTTTCGTACTTTGAAAGGAGGGATGACTTTCTCAACGGGAGCACCGTGTACGACCAGCCTCTGATTTCCCATCAGAAAGCAGTGGGCACCATCTTCAAGGTGTTGGAAGAAATTTCAACCAATCGTTCTATATCCAGCAAAACTATCCTTCAAAAATGTGGGAGAAACTGAGATTTAAATTAAAATTTAAGAGGAACTGTCACTAATAGGTCTTCCCAACAACAAATGCATGAGGGGGAGTCTCCAGGCTGAACAGAAGGACACGAGATGACACGTGAAGGCCACGTGAAGACATGAAAACACCAGTAAGGGTAACTGTGTAAGTAAATATGAGAGACGACACAAATGTACTTCTTATTTTTCCATCTGGTTAAAAGACAGGTGCATGAAGCAATAATTATAAATAATAACTATAAATCTCTGTGGACGGGAAAGCAATGTATAAAAGAGAGACAACACAAGTTACCAAATTCAGGAATAGAAGAGGACACCTTACGACTGGCCCCACAGAAACTACACAGGATTCTACGGGAATACCACAGACAATTACATGCCAAAAATCAGAGAACCTAGATGAGATAAACCAATTCCTACCAATCCACAAACTACCAGAACTGGCTCATGGAGAAACAGACCTGTAATAATTAAGAAGATGGAGTCAGTGATAACTTCCAACAAAGAAACGCTCAGGATTCGATACCCTTACTGGTGGATTCTGCCAAAAACATAAAGAAGAATTACTACCTGTCATTCTCAAATCTTCCAAAAAGACAAGAGGAGAAAACACTTCAAAACTCCTTCTCTGAGGCCGGTATTTCCCTGATACGAAAGCTGGACAATGACATCACACGGAAGGGAAATCTCAGAACCATATCCCTTATAAATATAGATGCAAAATCCTCAACAAGTTCTGGAATTGAACACAGCAACAGAAGAAAGGGGTTATATACTATGATTACGTGGGATTTATCCCATAAATGCAATGTCCATAGAAAATTCAAAAATTAATTCATGTAACACACCAGGCAATAGAAGAAAAAACATATGATCATCTGAATACATTCAGGAGGAAAAAACTGAAAAAAAAAAGCAGCTCACTTTCAGGACAGAAACACTTACAGACTTGAGTAGAGGAGAACGTCCCCCACCTGATAGAGCCCATGTACCTCACACTTAACTGTGAAAGATGGAAAACTTCCCCCAGGAGCTGAAACATGACAAGGATGTCTGCTCTCATAACTTCTATATGACATGGTCCTGGAGGTTCCAGCCACAGCAATTAGACAAGAAAAAGAAATATAAACCATCTGGGATGGAAAAGAAGAAATAAAACTGTATCTATTGGCATATGACATGATTTTACATATTGAAAGTTCCAAAAACAATCCATTAAAAGTAACAATTACAGCTAATAAAATACTTTGTCCAGGTTGCAGGATACACGATCAATATACAAAAGCCACTTGTATTTCTACACACTAGCAATGAACATTCCGAAATTAATAAAACAATGTACAATAGCATCTGAAAGAATAAAATGCTCAGGATGAATTTTTTAAGAAGATGTGCATGATTTTTACAATGAAAACTAAAACATTGCTGTTAAAGGTTAAATGAGATCTAAATAAGTAGAAAAACATCCCGTATTCATGGGCTAGAAAACAACATCATTGCAAAACGATGCTTTCCCAATTGAATTAGAGATTTGATGCAATTCTTATTAAAACCCCCAACTTCTTTTTTTAGGCACAAAAACATCATCTGCTCCTCACACTCACAGGGAAATGCAAGGGGCTCTGAAGACTCGTGGCTTCAACACTTGCGACAAGGCTGCGTTGACCAAGACACTGGGTGCGGAGTGGCCCAGGGTGGACACATGACTCTGGACTAGAACTGAGGGCCCAGAAATTAAAACTCAAATGGTCAACTGATTTTTAACAAGGGTTCAAAGACCATTCAGTGAAGGAAAAGAATCATCCACCCTCTCAATGAATGGGATGGGCTAACTGTGGATACGCAAGAAAAAAGTGGATTTGGACCCCAACTCACATCCTGTGGAAATATTAATGCACAAATGAATCCAAGACCTGAATGCATGAGCTGAGACTACGAAATTCTTGAAGGAAAACATGGGGGTTCATCTCCATCACTTTGTCACTTTGGCAGATGAGTCTTCCATGTGATGCCTACATCACAAGCATTAAAAAAAAAAAATTGATAAACTGAACTTGATCAAAATGTAAACTCGTGTGTTAAAGGGCACTGTGGAGAGAGGGGAGACAGCTGGCTGGACTTACATATCCGGTAAGTGTTTAGTTCACAGTATATGAAATTCTATTAAGATTAACCAATAAATGTCAAAGAACCCAATTTAAAAATGGACAAAGCATGTGAATAGAATGTCTCCAAATAGTTTGAATAGAATTCCTCCAGAAACAGGATTTCTCCAAAGAAGACGTGGAGAACACTAGCATCTTTGAGGGAAATGCTCATCACAGCGGTGAGCTACACTCCACCCTCCCACCCACCCCCCCCAATGGCTACAGTAAAAAGTAGAAAAAACAAGCCTGCAGGTGTGCGGGATGTTGGGCCTTGCGCCCTGCAGGTGGATTTCAGAGCTGCACAACCACACGTCTGGCAGGCCCGCAAACAGTTAAAATAGCATCGCACGTGACTGAGAAATCTGCTCTCAGGTATATATACACACACGAGACCCGCAAAGCTGTTTCGACAAAAACTTGTTGTGGATCTTGACACAGCAGCACTATCGGTGTAGCCAAAACATGGGAACCACCCCAAGTCCATCAGCGGACGGAGACGCAAGGCGCACATGGTCTGTCACAGGAGTGTAAGAAATGTGTCGAGGATGCTGCGCCAGCGTCACTCAGCTGAACCGCGGTGCCCAGGGCAAGTCCGGGAGCCGGAGCGTCAGGCCGAGAACAGCACGGTTCCCCTAGACGTGGCCACACGGCCGCACCCACCCGTTCCACAAACACCTGCGCCTGGACAGAGGTGTGGGCAGCAATGGCCAAGAATCCTGGGTTCCCTCCTCTGTCCTGTTCGTGTCCCTTCTCTGTGGTCACTGTTGCGTCTCTGAAAAGCAGGAAGGCATGTAGAAGTGATACCATCTCTGAGTCAAAACAACAATCCCACCCACCTGTACTTTCTGTACCTGCCTCTTGCAGTCCCCATCGAACGACTGCTCATCTGCAAACTGTGCTGAGGCAGAGGCTGTACCACGGCCAGACCATGCTCATGCCCAGGGCTGAGGCCCACCGTGCAGCTCAGCTCCACTTGGCTCTGGGTGGCCAGCTCAGGGCCAGGCGTGGACACGGCACCACCGCCAGGCTCCACCCGGTGCCGCGGGCAGAGTGCACAGAACCTGGGTTCCAGGGGGACCGCGGTTACTGCACCTTCCCCGTGGGTCTGAGCACCCTCACCCTGGACGGAGCCTAGTGCTGTGTTCATGACTCGCCACCTCCAGCATTGTGCACGGACCACCACCGCGGAGTGTGGGGGGACCTGAGTGGGGAGGGGCTATGTGTGTGGGGGAGCCCGTGTGTGTGAGGGAGGGCGTGTGTGTGGGAGGGCGTGTGTGTGGGGAAGCTGTGTGTGTGGGGGTGAGGCCATCTGGGGGGGCATGTGTGGGGGAGCCCGTGTGTGGGGGGGAGCCCGTGGGGGAGGGGAGGCCGTGTGTGGGGGGGAGCCTGTGGGTGAGGGGAGGCCGTGTGTGGGGGGGAGCCCATGTGTGGGGGAGCCCTTGCGTTAGAGCTAAAAGGCTGCAGCTATTTGAGCGTGAGTGTCGCCAGCAGGCTTACAAGCCACACGGAGGCCGGCAGGAGGGCCGTGGCCCGGCGGCCGCATTCCTGGGCTGTGACCACGTGGGCGGGGCCGCAGCCTCCAGAGCTGCCAGGTCAGCAGAATGAACGTCTCCCCGCAGCCAGCAATGAGCTCAACGGCCATTAAACATAATGCGAACCATCTTCCGTGGCCACGGCTCAAAGCTGCACCACAAGCAGCTGAAACATCCGGTCACCCGCCAGCCCGCGTGGTGCCGTGGAAACCCACGGCTCGCCAGGAGCAGCCACGGCCCGGGCCAGGCGGAACCTGCCTCCCCCGGCCCTCCTCCCGACCTGTCTTGTCTGCGCCGGGTGACAGCCACCACCCCATCTCCCTGCACTGCGTGTGCCTCCGTGTGCTTCTCCACGCGTGCGGCACGTGGGTCTGTGGGGGGATGTGGCTCAGCTGTGTGAGGACAGCTGTGCTCTGGCTGAGTCCGGGACTCATCTGCCCACGCGTCCGCAGCCGGCTCCCGTGGGCGGGCGGATTGCCCCAGCTCCGTGGACAGCGGCCTGGTGCCACGCCAGGCCTCCCGCCCGCCCTCACCCACAGTGCACACCGCCTCCTGCTGGCCCGAATACAAGGACACAGCCACTTCCAAAGGCGGGTCCACGCGGTCCTCGCCAGAGGTCTGACCCAGTCAGAGAACAGCCCCGTGAAGGGCTCTGCGAACCATCCTCACACTCCCGGTCCTGGGAAAGCAGTCATCGTCCCCACTCAGGGGCGCGTGTGCTTGTGAACGGGGCACGCTCGGGCCTGTGCCCCCCTGTCCACGGCCCCCCGCAGCCGTCAGTCACCGACCATCTGCAGGAGCCCGGCCAGACCACGTCGACCGTTTTACTCTAGCAGCTGCCGCTAGGAACCGGGTGTTTCCCGGGACTGAGCTTCCTGGTCGAGGTTGGAACTAGCACACCGGGCGTGTTCCCACACAGACCGCGTCCTCGGAGACTGGGTCTGGGTTCGGGTGTCGTGATAACGTCAAGGGCTCAGCCGCCAAGTGGCACAGGAGACACAGGAGGTCATCCAAGGCGCCCAGAGCGGACCCCGGTCCTGCCTCCTTGGGTGTGAGTGGGGCGCGGGGCTCAGTCGCTGCAGCAGGGAGACGCAGGGCAGGGGGCTGTGCACCGTGTGTGTGTCTCTGGGGAGCCATGGCTCGTACACCCCAAGATCCTAACCCAGAGACGCTGCTCAGGGCCTCACGCGGGTCAGGGCCGGCTTCTGGGCGGGCACATGAGTCTGTGCCCCAGGGCATGCTGTCACCCCGGCACCGCCCTTTCTTTACCTGGGGTGCTCCTGGGATAACCGTCTGTGGTAGTGAGGAGACCAGCCACCGGACAGCTGCCCGTGCACGGCCCCCCAGCGCCGACCAGGAGAGCCGTCCTCACAGGGCAGGCCACGGCCGGTGCCCTCACACTCAGTCGCCGTGGGAGGCCCGCATGGCCCAGGGGTCTGGCCAGCCCCCTCCCTCCGAGTGACCGGGTGTGAACAGTCACACAGGCAGCCTCGGCCTCCACACGCTGTCCCCTGGGAATGTCACGGTAGCTCGCCATGCGCCCCGCGCTCCGCTCCCGCCGTGTGACCGGAGGGCCGCAGCCACGGTCCCTCGGGGGCGTTAGGGACGAAGGGGTGTACTGATGAGCGGCAAGGCCTGGGGGCAGGGGACAGCGGGGCGGCTGTGCCCTGTGGGGCGGCTTCTGCTCTCGAACCTGTGACCCTGCTCACGCCCAGCCTCTTCCCGGGACGATGGCCCCTTTCCAGGGCGATCCTGAGGCTGGACACACAGCCACGGGCAGGGACCTGGTCACCTGCTGGAGGCACACGGACGGTTCCCGCGTCTGTTCTCCGGAACGAGTTACACTGTCCGCACTGTGGCCACCAGGCCGTGGCGTCGCTGAGGCGGCCCTGGGCGCAGCGGGTGTCCTGAGAGGCAGCTGAGGGGACGGCCGGGAGCGCAGGGACCGGCACAGGGACGAGAGGGACGAGCGCACAGGCCTCCCCGGGACCCATGCCCTCCCCAGAGTGGGCTCCGACGTGGGGACAAGGAGGCTGCTCTGAACCCTCCTTTCGCTCTGCTAGCACCGGACAGAACAGGTGAACCAAGGACCCAGTTGTCTGGGCCGCGGCCGAGCGGGCGCCCTCTCCCGCTTTGGGCAAATCAAAGAGTCGACAGCGGACACACGGCCAAGGCTGCGACGGTGCGGTGGGTGCTTTTTCGCCCCCGTCTGGAAGGACTCAGGGGCTCGGCAGGACAGTGGCAGACAGACGGACAGAAGGACACCGGCTCCTCTGGGAACACTGGCAGGTTTGTGCGAGAGCCCAGGGGGGGCAGTTGACACCAGCAATACCTCTGACCACGAAAACGCAGGACCTGCGGTGCCGATGTGCTGCGGGTCAGGGCCCAACATGTCAGTGCGCACATTTCTACATATAAATCACTGCTGGAGAAATGCAATGCTCAGACTGAAACAGCTGGGGTACAGCCAAGGGAACACAGGGAGTGGGGCTGAGTCACGAGGCGAGGGTGGTGCGGACACGGCTCCCCACCAGACCCGAGCAGAGGTGCACCGTGCGCTGGGCCCTTCAGGAAGCCCTGCAGGCGGCCCCGAGCCCAGCCGGCAGCGTCCAGGCACTGCCCCTGTGACCGTCCACGTCACACCTGTCTCCGGGCCCCGCGGAAGGTGTGGTTTTCCCTCCGATGAGCTCACACCGCAGATGAAAGACTGCGCTTCCGGGCAGCAGACCCGGAGCAGCGGAGAAATCACTGGAGCTGGCCCGTGGACACGGACTGGCCACTCAGCAGTGCTGGGGACATCGCTGTGGCGGCGGGGGGCCGGGAACACACCCGAAACGAACAGAAAGCCCCCCAGGACCTGGAACTGCAGGGAGGAAGGGGACACACATCGGGATGGGGACGGTCACCCTGGGTGGTCTCCGCACGGGCGCCCAGCACCGTCACTGACACCGGGGGCAACGCTGACTTCCTCAGGGGCCAGTTCACAGAGGAGCAGATAGGAGGCTGGGCCGTCCGGGGCAGAGCAGGTCCCCAGAGGAGCGAGGTGTCCCCTGGCCGGGCTGAGGCCCTGGGTGCAGGAGGCGGGGGCCTGGCCGCCGAGGGGTGCGGACTAACCCAGGGGGTGGGCAGTGGGAGGAGGGAAACGTCGTGCACGGTTCTCCCTGAACTCCTTGCGCGGACAGACACTGAAGGGCCAAGTCTGCGGCCCTCCCGTGAGGGGGCGGAGAGATGGCGTCGCCCCTGCACCCGGAACCTTCCAGGGAGGACTGACGAGCCTTCACGTCATGTGGACGCATGAGGCCGCCACACACTTCAGGGACACCGGGGACAAGCGTCTTCTCGCGGAGCACTTACGGTGACAATCACGCCGCTGTGACAAGAGACCAACTGACAGGATCTCTTACAATTATGAAAAGCTTACGTACTGAACGAGAGATTCCACCCACACCTACAGAGTTCATTATTCTCAACACGACACCAGCGAAATTCAGTGGGAAGGTGTCTCCAGAGCAAGGAGACGCTCATGAAAACCAGCATCTGGCCACTCTGTTGTCCACGCCCCAGATGGACTCAGGACAATGAAAGCAGGGTGGTCCGGCTCCGGCCCCGTGTGAGCCGAGTGTGGTGGAGCCACACCGCCCGCACCCTGGGGAGCAGCGGACAGACGGGCTGCGTGACACGCTTCGCCCAGACTGCCTTGCTGGGGTCTCCCCCTTGCTGGCTTGGAGGAAGCAAGTGGTCCTGTCGGGACCCCACGTGGCAAGGAGCTGCCGTAGCCTCTGAGCTGAGGGCAGCCTCCCGGCCTGGGGGCCAGCGGGGGGGGGGGTCTGAGGCCCCGTCCTACACCCGCCAACAAGCTCAGCGAGCGGGGGTGCCCAGGACAGCCCGAGAGGACACGGCCCGGTCACGTCTGGCCGCAGCCTGGGACCCTGCACTAGACCTCCGCTGTCTCGTGCCAGACGTGCCCACGGACACTGGGAGGCGACAACCGTGCACTGCTTCAGACGACGGAGTTTCCGCGAACACTGCGACGGAGCCACGGAGAGAATGCAGTGGACGCAGAACTAAACTGCATAGAACTACAGCTTCCTTGAAGAACAGACGCTGCACCTGCGCCTCCGGGTTGGCAGACTCTTCTCGGCCATAGGAAGCATTGGCCCTGGAACAGACGTTGTGTTTTCTAAAAACCCAAAGTGGATGCTCATCAGGGGACAGCCGGGGAATAGCTGAAGTACGTCCGTCCGGCACAGGATGGTCTCCAGAGCACATTTTTAAAAGTTCTGCGACTCAGTACTAACAAGACAATTAAAATGGGCCTACAAACTTATGAAGTGCTCACTATCACCATTACTAAAGAAATGTGCATTAAAACCACAATAAAAATACCAAAACAGCGAAAATTAGAAAGACAAACGAAACAAAGGTGGCTGAGACTCGGGCCCTGGGCCCACGGGACGCGGACGGGCCGGGAGCAGCCTCCTCCTGGGCCCACGGGGCACAGACAGGCTGGGAGCAGCCTCCTCCTGGGCCCACAGGGCGCGGACGGGCCGGGAGCAGCCTCCTCCTGGGCCCACGGGGCACAGACAGGCTGGGAGCAGCCTCCTCCTGGGCCCACAGGGCGCAGACAGGCTGGGAGCAGCCTCCTCCTGGGCCCACGGGGCGCGGACGGGCCGGGAGCAGGCCTCCTCCTGGGCCCACGAGGCGCGGACGGCGGGGAGCAGGCCTCCTCCTGGGCCCACGGGGCGCGGACGGCGGGGAGCAGGCCTCCTCCTGGGCCCACAGGGTGTGGACGGGCCGGGAGCTGCCTCCTCCTGGGCCCACGGGGCGCAGACGGCGGGGAGCAGGCCTCCTCCTGGGCCCACAGGGTGTGGACGGGCCGGGAGCAGGCCTCCTCCTGGGCCCACAGGGCGCAGACGGCCGGGAGCAGGCCTCCTCCTGGGCCCACAGGGAGCAGACGGCCGGGAGCAGGCCTCCTCCTGGGCCCACGGGGAGCGGACGGGCCGGGAGCAGGCCTCCTCCTGGGCCGGGGCTGAGCTCTCAGCACCGGTGTGGACTGTCCACGTGTGAGGAGACAAGTCAGTGCTGAGCCAGGGTCCGTGGCGTGAAGCCCACGAGGACAAGAGCAGTCTGTGCAGGGAGCAGGACACTCTCGTCCGGGCTGTGGGGCGGCCGGGGTGAGGGGCGGCCTGGCCTGGAGGGCGGGGCCTGTGACCACCCCAAAAAGACGAGAGTCCATCATCCCACATGCTTCTCTTACCTTCATCTTTCCTTTTTAATTCTTATTCAAAAAATACTCCTTTACTTTGATTAAAGATACCAGAGAATAAAACCCCCGGTCTGTCTCTTCACCTGCTTAATGAGATGGTCAGGAAGAAGGGTGAGAATTGAACAATGAGACTGTTTTTCTTGTCATTTTCTATATTAAACAATATTTTAGACCAAAAACATGCACGGCTGTGGTGTAAGACTGAGCAGGAGTCTCTCAGGGTCACGGGAGCCCTGTGTCTGTGACCCCTTTCTAACCTCGCGGCACTTTGGGGTTTCCAGAAGCGATGAGAAGTGAATAACCCACGTCACCGTGTCGTCCCCCGTGACCTGCAAAGTCCTGGGCTCAGACA